CCACCTAGCCCGGAACTGGTAAGTTGTTAATTCAGTATCATAAACGTTACATTATTAATTTTCTCCTTACTAGGATATATAAGGGTACAATGGAAAGTTTTTTTTTCAATCAATGGCTTGTGATGACATCACGCTAAAAGAAGCGTGTGGCGGAATTTGATGCTGACGACGAGTTCTAAAGAAAAAAAAAACGGGGACACTGACATTTATTAAAAATATATAATAGTATTCGTGTAATGTGTAAAATGAAACTTTTTCGATCAGAATGATTTCATTAACAAATTGCTTACTTTAATAAATTTGTTACTTATTTTAGTGTTCTTAAATCGTGGGTTCCTGTTTTATCGATTATGTACCTTTCATAGTCATGCTCTATATAGAAAAAAGTTTCATTAATTGTAAAGAACGATTTATGTATTCCCTGTATAACATTGAATTGTACTAGGACCAGTAGGAAAAGTTAAGTATTTAAGAAATCACTAGAACAATCCGAAGTTATAAAGATATTACGTTGATAAATTGTCTTCCTATATTAATGGTTTTTTTTTATATGACATTGTCAGTTTGTTAAATTGTAGAACTGTAACCGTTGTGGGAAAGTAAATATGTCATTGACATAATTTCAAGACTTTGAAAATGTTCTTATTCACGCCACTGAACTTTTTAACCAAGCAGAAAATCATTCTGACGAGTTTATGAAATTAAAAGAGCAATGCGAAATTATGAAAAATTATGTATTAAGTATAACGGCAAAACGTTGTCTTCATGCATAAGCATTTTTAGGTCACCTGAGTCACTCAGGTGACCTATTGCTATCCGTTCTCGTCCGTCGGCGTGCGTCGTGCGGTGTGCGTCGTGTGTTAACATTTGAACATTTTTAGTTTCTTCACTGAAACCGCTTAACCAATTTCAACCAAATTTGGCATATAGCATCTATGGGTGAAGGGGAACAAAAATTGTGAATTTCATGGTCCCTGCACCCCTTGGGCCTGAGGGGTGGGGCTAAAACCACCAAAAATAATGCAATCTTTAAAAATCTTCTTCTTTACTCCTGGACATCAAGCAGTCTAACTGTTGGCATGATCGTAATGAGCATTAAGCCCTCTACCAAAATTCTGAAATTCATGGCCCCAGGGTCAGGGGTTCTGGTGCTAGGGTGGGGCTATATAGATCATATAGTGAAAGTGCATTATTTCTTTAAAAATCTTCTTCTCTGCTCCTGGGTATTAAATAAAGTAACTAAGTTCATAGTTATGAAGAGCAAGAGTGCCTCTTCCAAAATTGTGAAATTCATGGCCCCAGGGTCAGGGGTTCTGGTGTTAGGGCGGGGCTCTATTGATTATATAGTGAAAATACATTAATTCTTTGAAATCCTCTTCTCTGCTCCTGGGTATTAAATAAACTAAGTACATAGTTATGATGAGCAAGAGTGCCTCTTCCAAAATTGTGAAATTCATGGCCCCAGGGTCAGGGGTTCTGGTGTTAGGGCGGGGCTCTATTGATTATATAATGAAAATGCATTAATTCTTTGAAAATCTTCTTCTCTGCTCTTGGGTATTAAATAAAGTAACTTAGTACATAGTTATGATGAGCAAGAGTGCCTCTTCCAAAATTGTGAAATTCATGGCCCCAGGGTCAGGGGTTCTGGTGTTAGGGCGGGGCTCTACTGATTATATAGTGAAAATGCATTAATTCTTTGAAAATCTTCTTCTCTGCTCCTGGGTATTAAATAAAGTAAATTAGTACATAGTTATGATGAGCAAGAGTGCCTCTTCCAAAATTGTGAAATTCATGGCCCCAGGGTCAGGGGTTCTGGTGTTAGGGCGGGGCTCTATTGATTATATAGTGAAAATGCATTAATTCTTTGAAAATCTTCTTTGCTCCTAGGGAATTTAAAAAAACTAAGTACATAGTTATGATGAGCATGGCTGCCTCTTCAGAAATTATGAATTTTATGGCCCCTAGGTCAGGGGTTCTGGTGTTAGGGCGGGGCTCTATTGATAATATAGGGAAAAGGCATGAATTTTTTCAAAATCTTCTTCTCTGCTCCTGGGTATTTTTCAAACAAAGGAAGTACATGGTTATGATAAGGAAGAATGCCTCTTCCAAAATTGTGAAATTCATGGCCCCTGGGTCAGGGGTTCTGGTGGGGTGGGGGGGGGGGGTGGGGGGAGGAGAGCTCTATTGATTATATAGTGAAAATGAGTAATTTCTTTCAAAATATTTTTTCTATTACTGGTTATAAAGTAAAGAAACAAGTGTATAGTTATGATGAGAAAGGGTGCTTCCAGAATTGTGAGTTCGTGGCCAATGGGCCAGATGTTCTGGTGTAAGGATGGGGCTTTATTTAATAATATGGAGAAAATGCATTTCTTTGAAAATCTTCTATGCTTCTGGGAATGTTCAAGGCAAACAGAGTAAAAGTTTTAATATGCAAGGGTATTTTTACCAGAATTTTGAACACCTGGACCATTTAGTCAAGTGTTCTGATCCTGGCCAGGGCTCTATTAACTTGTATTCCGCTGAGCAAAGTTATTCCCCTTTGCCATTCACCTTTGATAATTAATCAATGTAAGTAATGTATTTGAAAGATTAATAGAATAAGAGAATTATGCAAGAAAATTTATTGTATAATAAAAAAAGTACTTTCATAGTTTTAATGACTTGGAAATAATAGATGAATCAAAATGAGACAAAAATAACTTATCTTTTTAAATGTTCTTCAAAGGCCAAGAGAGGCCATTGTGAGAAGTAATAATATGGGGTTAAATACTGTAGAAGTGGAATACATTACGGTGTTTTTAATTTCACTATGTTCACGATTGAAGAATTTTCCGCGAACTTTAAACCATCGTGATTATTATTTCATTTCATCTCTAAAACAGACATCGGTATTATCATTTGAATATAAATGATGTGTATAAAACAACAGGCAAAAAAAAAAAAAAAAAACAATTAAACAAACAAACAAATTGAAGAAATTTTATTCTGGTCATGAAAGAAAAACAATCAAAACATTGTTATTTTTGTTCAAAGTGAAATAACACAATTTAAATTCCGACCTTGCTGAAGGCGCCGACGATAAAGTCACGGTTGGCTAAACGCTCCAGTGCATACACGAGCCATTTAGCGTGGATGGGTTTGATTTTTGACAATCTAAGATCGATACTGACATTTTCGACCTCTTCGCCTTTTTCTAATGCAGATTTAACTTCATCAGCATAAAAACTTTGGAACTGTGACTTTAGAAGAGATTTAAATTTTCCATTTATTTGAACATCTAAGGGCTGAAGCCTATCGGTACACGCTGCCGGTACAAAAACAACCTTTATTCCTTTTTCCTCCATATAACTGAGTAATTCCTTGTCTTGGTGGGCTTTGAACACATCAAAAATGCAGAGCGCCTTCTGTTTTAGAGGAAGATCGAGGTCGTCGCGCACCTGTTCGACATACGGCAAAATGATCTTTTCTACGTAACGCTTCATTGTATCTGCATTGCTCCAGTGATTTTCACTGTGGTGCACGTCCCATGACTTGGGGAATCGATACTCAGGATGACACTTGTCTGTAAGGCCCTGGTAAAGAAGCTGTGGGGGAAGAAGTTCACCGGCCTTAGTAACTGCGAGAACTGCCGTAATTTGGCGCTTGTCGTCTACCCCTTTGATTGGAACTTGCTTGGCACCTATTAAATAAATGTAAAAATCTCAGTGATCTACAAAAACAGTGTTTACATGGTTAATTAAGGTTTAATGATATATTAAGAACAATAGAATTACCGGCCTTTTACTGTATGATTTATAAAGACTTACCGCTTTCATGCATAGTCCATTCCCCGCAAGGAACTAAATTTACAGCTGTTTGATCCCAATTAATGATAAGTTCGTCTGGAATGTTAAACTTTGAAATATTGTCAGAAATTCTTTTCAAATATGCGTTTTTTATGTCATCAAAATCTTCGGGAAAGTGTTTGATTCCTTTTGTGCCCTTCCGCTTCGAGAAGCCCATTCTGTTCAGTAGAGATCGCGCCCATTCCTTGGTAATCTCGATTGTACCCTCATTTTCTTTAAGTTGCGTGCTATCTTTGAACATCAAGATCCCCTTGGCCCCGGCCATGACAATTTGTGCATTAACGACACCTCCTGCAACTCTTAGTCTCCGTATGTATGCTTTAACAAGATCATCATACTGTCCAAGTTTTAAGGGCCGTCCACGGGGGGATTGCGGCAGAACACTCGGTTTAGTTTTACTGGGACTGCTTTGATAAAGTTTTCTGATGCTTCGAATCGTGCTTTCGTTCACTTCTCTTCCCAGTTCCTTGCTGAAATGACGGGCAGCTTTGGCCGGACCATTTTCAATTGCGTATCGTGCCATCTTTGCCCTAGTCTCTGGTGTGTAAGTTCCATATTATATTATATTAGACATTTTGTTAATAGTCTGCATGGGAATAGTGATAAATGGGGAGGGGGGGGGGGCAGAGAGATACTAGACTAATTATTTTGTTGATGCTAATCATACTATTTCTTGCTTTTGGGAAACAAAGCTTCATTTATCAGTTTATGGATCCTCTAAATTGTATTGTACTCAGGTGACCGTTAAGGCCCTTGGGCCTCTTGTTAGGTATACTTTAAATGGTTTTGTTGAAAGTAGAATAGTATTTGAATTCTTAAAATGAAAATTAGAAAAACCATCAGCATTAAACTCCTTTGAGAAATTCAACAAGATTTTAGTTTAATAATTTTAATAAGTAAGCAAAGTAACATTTATGTTTTTTAAAAGAAAGAATGATTTTTTTGAAAAATCTCAATCATTTCATTAGTAAAATAAAAGAAAAGCACTTGACAAAATGAATTGAATTTATATGTTCAGTAAACTAAATATCATTCTTTCTTTATAAATAAGCATAAATAAATATATACAAATTAACCTATTATAATTATATAATACATTGTCCACGCATTTCAAATAAAAGTAGAATTCAACTAGACATTTCGTTTGTTTCATCATTTGTCAATTTTATAATGTCCATAGGAGAAGCTGTCGACTCCAAATGGAGCTAACCACCATCGTTTATCATCGAAAGGTGACAATGATATTTTATTGATGGATTTTAGATACAAGATATGATTGTCACTACGAATGTTCTGCATCATATGTCTGCATCGTTGTTGTTCAAAAAGACAATTCTTGTAATGGAGATGGTTTAATTCCTTGGCGACAATAGATTTGGCAATTCCCTTTGCCTTTTTTATCTGCGTTTCCTTCTCGTCGTGAATTAAAAATGAATACATTTTAGCTCTCAGTCCCACAAATTCTTTTACGGGATACCCTGTAAACATAATTATGACGAAAGTTTTAGTTCAATCGTTTAAAGTACATAAGAACAATCAACATTCCACGTGAATCAAATTAATACATACCTCCGGTTTCGTCTTTCAACTTCCTAACTTCTTTCTTGTTTGTCTCGCTATAAAGGAAATGGTTCTTTGGGTAGTTGGATGTATCAAATAACTCTTTATTTCGAGCCATGTCTTGATACAAATCTTCCGTTTGAAACTTGTAAAATAAGGAGTCGGTGTCTGTCATTAGCAACGTTGCCCTGTCACCATACTGTTTCTTGACATATCCACAATGAAATTGATACATGAATAGTTTGGACAGGTCTAAAACAGTCATTCCCGTGTAGATTGGTTTGTTTAGTAGCAACTTAATCTTCTTGTTTTTTACACCAACCAAGTGTTTGTTAAAAATAGTGAAATTTTCAAAACTTGGCTTGGCGATCAATTTTTCGTAAACCCTTTTGTGTATTGATCAATTTAAATTCATCCTATTTCGTATATTTTCCATCGTTTTCCTAAAAAAGGGGGAAATAAACATTATAATTACAGAAATTATAAATTATTCAATAATTTGAAACGAAATGGTGTTGCATTTAAAAATTATTTACCCGAACACTATGTTGTTGTAGTCTTTGTACAATTTCACTTCGAAATTGCTCTTAGCTTGTCTTCTTTTGTTGGTGTTGTATTCAATGTAGGGTTTGAGGCATGCATTTTGTTTGAAGCGAATAACTCTATGAATTTGATCTAGTACAAGTCCTTGTTGAAGGAAAAATTGTAGATTGCGATAGTGTAGCACATACTTCTCTTTTTTGAGAAGAGTTGGTATTAATTTTTTTGAAACAATTCCTTTCGTTTTATTATTTTTTTGAAACTCTTCTCGACAATATAGAGATAAGTCGTCAACACACACTGTTATAGATTCTGGCGCTAATGGTAAGTCTGAATGAAGATCATGCAGATATTTTCTGGATAGCTTAAAGTGACTTCTAGAATATACCCAATGTCGTTATTTTTTGTATATTCATTACGTTGAGTTGAGATATTTCATTGTCAGTCAACCAACCAAAGTCTCCAATAGCCAGCGGTTCTAGCATGGCACCCCCGTAAAGATTGTCAAGTTGAAGTAGCCCTAATACTTTTTTGGCTCATTTTCATCAAAAGTTTCTGGTATGTATGGATTGTTGTCCTCAACATGTCGAGTTGTCATCATGGCTACACCTCCTCGTATACACTTTTCAATCATTTGGTATTGATCAATGTCTGTCAGTAGTTCCAATTCTACCTTTGTCATTTTTAAACAGGCACTCCAACACATACCCGCCAATGTAAAGTATTGTGCTAGATCTAGATTAAAGCTCTCTATTGATACTTCTCTAAACCTTTCAAAAACCTCAGCTAATAAAATGACATCACATAGTAGGTATAAATCGTGATAGTCACCCATTGTTATCATCCTCATTTCATCCCATACTTGCTGTGCATGTTCGTATTCTTCATCGGATATGTCAGTTTTGCTCAGAGAATTGTAAAATGATGATTTCGGGGGTAATTGTTTTGTCATAAATTTTGATGCATCGGTGACAAAAGAGTATGGGTAAACACCTCTTCCTAAAAGCAATTTCTTTTCTTTTTCGGTTTTGAAATGTCTGCTAAAGTATTTAAAATGTGCATCTCCACTTGATTTGAGGTTTTGCACTAGAGTATCTAAGGAAGACGATAGAAATTGGGACGAATCAATATATCGCAAGCTACCTAGGCTAAACGTCACGTATCTCTCGTTTGAATTGGCAATGAAACTAAGCTTTTTATTCTTGAATAGACCCAATTTCTGCATGATTAAATGTCCATCGAAGCTTCTCACGTTATGCAGAATAATTGGAATAAATTCCACCTGTTTAAACTGTAAGTTACAGTCTCAATGTGCAATTCCAAACACTTTTCCACTCACGTGATCATGGTTGAACTTTGGTTGAATTACTGCCAAAAGCTAAACCGCATATATGACAAGTTGTAGCTTCTTTAAATTGTTTTTCTATTTCATCGCTTATTTCCATGTGTTCTATTCGTTTCAGTAACTTAAGTATTCTTCCTCTTCTTTTAAAACCATATTAAGAAATGTTTCTACTACATTTTCCCCGCGGTATATAACTGGTTTTTTGGTATATCTAATGTCGCTGGATATAACTTGATATGCGAAACTACAAGGTTCGAATTCTGACAAATTGGTAGTATGTGATGAATTGGGATCGAGATCACACGTCTGAATGGGTTTCACGTACGTTTCGAAATCGGCATATATTGTAAATGGAACTTTTAACTGCTTTGCAATTTCGGTGAACTGTAAAACATCATTTTCGCCTGGTACAGGCATCTCAATTTTTTGTTCTCCAAGAGCCATACAAAAGTCAACGTGTTTGTTTAACGAACCCATGTAAACAATATGGACAGTAATGTTTTGAGTGGCAAAAATCTCTCCAGACGTTCGATACAAAAATCTGTTTAGATTTTTTTATCAAACAGTAGTGAATCTGATCCTTGTTTTTAAATAAAGAAGATCTACGTGTGATATTTTTTTCTTTTTTGTAATACGCATTGGGAAAGTCTCTCGACAATCGTATCCAAAAACATTAACTGACACTTGATTCTGGTTTACAAATTTTTCTATCTGCGACACTTTTACTGGATATTGTATTCCTTTCATGTTCAGTCTGTCAGCATATTGAAGATAATTGCTTACTTTTGACGGGTTGTCTTGCAGGGTAAAGTTTTGCCAAAATCGAGTAGAGAAAACATTTCTGATCCCGATTTTTAACGTTAAATAAAGATTTGCTATTTTGCAATTTGTTTGGTGATGCAATGTAACTACCGCCTTATAGAGGTAAGTAGTGGACAAAGCATACTTCAACGTAGAGAACTTGGGATAAAACCAAATCTGAACCCTTCATAATGAATTCTTGTTTGGAATTAAACATTTTTTGAAAGGCTTCGTTTAAATGGTGTATATTAAAGTCCTCTGCATACAAGTGAGCATAAGTAATGCTCCGAAAATGAGGCTTTGCAGTTTCATGTACGCCTTCTTTCTCACGAGAAAATTCTACTCGAGTCATTAAATACCATTTAATTCCTTTACGGAGTGGGGTTGATGATACAAGTATGTCCTGAACTTTCTCTTTAATATTACTGTAAATCACACGAGCATGTCAAATCTTTCCACATCTTTGGGTATATTTAATAGAATTGACCGAACCATTCAAAGCACGTACAATTTCATGATTTTCATGATACTAGCAAAAAATGATCATAAAGAGGCATAGCTTTATAATGCGCAACACAAACTTTCAAATCAAGATATTTATTAAAAATTGAGTTCTTCGTTTCACCAAATATTGGTTCAAAACATTTAATGAATTTTTCAAGACCTTCTCTTCCATAAAAAGCTTGAGAGGTTCTGTCTGACGGCCAAAGTTTGAAGTTAAATACTGTGTTGAAATCCTTCAGTGGACTTTCTCTAAACATGCCAAATCTGGAAATAAATTGTTAATTAAGTTTTTGTGCCAAATTAACTAAACGTATCTATACTTCTACATAGTCATTTATTTCATTTCAAGATTTCCATTTTGAACAATAAATGATATTGGAAAAAAATAGTTTTAAGTGACAGTTATAATTCTTATGTATCTGTAGAAATTAAAATTACCTTTGATCCAAGGACTTAATCACAGCATCTAATATACTTCTTGTGTCACTGTCTATGTAGTCAACAGGATTGCAGGGACCATGAAGTTTAAGACCTCCAAACATTTTCTCCTCTGGGTTATACTTGGATATGAACTCCCTCATGCAGTTACCAGGATGAAATTTCAATCAGGTTAACCTCATGCATCCAGTTAATAATGAGTTCAGTGTGGGAAGCTGTTAGAGCATCTTTGATCAAGCAGGTGTTATCTATATCTCCTGTGAATTGGGCAGAAAGAATTAAAGATCTCTGTTCTCTAACTCTCTTAATTTTAGTTTATAGTCTGTCAGAATACATAGCCTTTTGTTATGCCCCCGGATCGAAAGATCCCGGGGGTATATTGTTTTTGTCCTGTCTGTCTGTTTGTCTGTCTGTTGTCAACTTTAACCTTGCCCATAACTTTTGATTGGTTGAAGTTATAGCTTTCATATTTTACATGTGTATTCCTTGTGACAAGACCTTTGGTTACCATCATATTTGACGTTTTGACCTTGACCTTAGAGTTTGATCCACTTTTGCAAAATTTTACGAGACTTTAACCTTGGCCATAACTTCTGAACAGTTGGTGCTTGGGGTTTCAAACTTCACCTGTGTAGCCTTCCTTTGGATACCAACAACTTTGACCTTGACCTTGGAGTTTGACCTACTTTTGAAAAACTTTAGCTATAACTTCTGAACAGTTGGTGCTTGGGGTTTCAAACTTCACATGTGTATTCCTTGTGGCAAGACCTTCCTCTGGAACTTTTGAATGGTTGGAGCTAGGGCTTTCATACTTCACATATGTAATCCTTGTGACAAGACCTTTTTTGGATACCAACCACTTTGACATTTTGACCTTGACCTAGGATTTTGACTTACTTTTGAGAAACTTTAATCTTGACCAAAACTTTTGAATGGTTGATGCTAGGGGTTTCATACTTCACATACCGGTATGTAATCCTTGTGACATCACCTTCCTTTGGATACCAACCACTTTGACCTTGACATGAGTTTGACCTACTTTCGAAAAACTTTAACCTTGGTCATAACTTTCGAATGGTTGGTGCTAGGTTTCATACTCACATACGCAATCCTTGTGACAAAACCTTCCTTTGGATACCAACCATATTGACCTTGACCTTGACGTTTTACTTACTTTTAAAAAACTTTAACCTTCGCCATAACTTTTGAACAGTTGCAGCTAGGTTTCTCAAATTTCACAGGTATTTTCCTCGAAACATTTTTTATCTTTTGGCCTGGATTTTGACTTGCATTTGAGAAACTTTAACCTTCGCCATAAGCTGCCATACGGGGGCACAAGTGTTTCACAAACACATCTTGTTTTTAAAAAAGAATTTGATATATAGTTATAAAGTTTATTTTGATTTTGTATAATTAAATATGATGTTTTTCAACAATCAGTTTACAGACTGTCATGTCTCACAAAGATGACAGATAGTTGCAATTTATTTTTTCAATGTAATGAGACAAAAAACAATGTAATTAATAGTATTTATGTATTAGGCTGCGCCTTAGTTTCATTCATTAAATAAATATAATGAGCAATTAGATTTTCACTCTAAATGTTTAATCAAATTGTGAACACCTTTTAGATTCATAAAGTATTAGTGCTTTGGCACCTTCTCTGAAAAACTTAACGGGGGGTATTTGTCCCTTTTGGACAGTTCTAGACACATTTTGCTTGTAACAACCA